TCAGATTGTTTATCTGGCTTTATCTCTGACAGGTTTATTTTGTTTTCTTTTTTAGCCTAATGATGCCTAATGATCTCTTTTTGCTTTGGTGTTTAAAATTAAAGTGGAAAACTATAAAATCCTAATTTCAACATGTTGAATGAACTTCAGATATCATGTCTGCTGTATTTATCATGAAATAACCTCACCTGAAACTGCCTCAGTCAGTACAATTACTGGGCCTTTTGCGAATGGGAAACTGTGTATAAAAGTGGCTGTAACTCCTACACAATTAATGCAATATTTTTGTTAAACCCCTTGAATTAAAGCTGAAAGTCTGACCTTTAATCACATCATGATCGTTGTTTTAAAAATCCACTGTGCTGGTGCACAGAGGCAAAAGTAGTTATCCCAAAAACTTATAGACCTAACTGTACTAATCTATACGGTGCATATTATTGTTAAGAACACCTACGTGGTCACTCTGTGCAGAAGAAATATGGTTCTCTTGCTTTCAATTGTGACGTCGCGACTAATCTTAACAAGACGCTCATATTTGTCGTGTTTGGTGTCGAGCTCCTGTTGGAAAACTTGAAATACACAGAGAAATGTTTCAGTGCAGGCAATACAACATTAAAACCATTTGGGTGCAAAGTGCAGTGAGAATACTGAGGATGCTGTTACCTTTGAAGGCAGCCATGACAGACGAGGAGGGGTTGGCACTCATTTCGTGCTCCTGCGCTGCATCTGCATTTCTCCGTGAACAACCCTCACCTGACAGTAGAGATGATGTCATAGTCTTTAAATAATAACTGCCTCTATCTGCCTCTCAGTCACACAAATAAAATACACTGAAAAAAATGAAATTGGGTGGTTGTTATATGTACAAGATTCAAACTTGTAATTGGAACTAAATTATTTCATGTTCCTATGGTGAACGTAATTAAATCATGTAGCATCTGCATGAAATTCAACAACTTAATTTGTTCTTGTTGAGATGACATGATCATGACATACAATCTAGTAAGAGTGGTTAGTTGCCTGGACTCACGAAATTCACAAGATCACATTAGATGCCAAACTGCAGGAAAATCGTTGGAGTTTTAAGAGGCAGACAACTGCACCCACACCACGTGTACGCTATCGCTATTTATTGTGGTTTAACCTGTCAAGGACAAAAACGTACAGAAAAGTCTGCATCAAACCTTGTAATCAAAGCTTTCCTAGTTTTCTTTCCTAGCCTGGATTGACAGCTTGGTGGTGTGATGGTGAGTGCTGTTGTCTCACAGCAAGAAGGGCCTGGGTTCAAATCCACAATCTGTCTGGTTTGCAGTATGTAATTAGAGTTAGGTTAATTGGCTATTCTAAATTACCCATGAATCTAAGTGCAAATGGTTGTTTGTCTCTATGAAATCATTAATCCCATATTGGTTCATTAAGCAAGACTAGCAGTAATTGCTCTGATTAACAAAGTAGTTGTTCAAACAACAAGATTTCATTGTGTTTTCCTGAAGTTTTTAACTTGTGTAGAATGAATTAAAACAAATTTCACTTTACATACTTCAATATGTAAAGTGACATAAGTCAATGTAAGTATACTACGTTGATCCAACGTAATCTGATTACATTAAACCACCAAATGCCGACAGTGGCTGCATGGTGAGATTTTTCCCATTCAGCAGCCAATGGCAACTTGTAGTGACCAAATAAATGGCTGCTAAGAGCTTGAATGCGTGGGTGTACAGATTGCGTGTAATTGCCAACCTGACCCCATTCAATCGGAGACTGATAGAAACATTTATTGCAGGTTTTAGTGACAGTGTTGGCACGCATTAGAATCTCATTTTTTTGCAGCAAAAAAATATTGAAAGTGAGATAACTTTATTTAAAATTGTGCATACTTTGCAGTTGAAAAAAGACAAATGCGATACTTAATGCAAAAGGTTAAAAAAAAAAGATAATAATATTGTATCGTCAATGAAGTATTATGATAAAATCCTATCGTAGGGTGACTCGTGATTCGCACTAGTATGTGCTTTAGGCATTTTAAGGGAACACAGGATTAGCACTGTTTACGTCTGTTACGACCGAAATGATTTCGTTAGCCTGACTTAGGCAGAGTAGGTTAAAACGTTATCATGTATTAGTCCTACTGTTATTTTAGGCTTGCTGGGTAATTACAAAACTCATAAAACTAAACTTGTTATTTTGAAATGATGGACTTACCTTCTCGTTTATTCATAGCTTCGGTGTTGTAGTGCACAGTTTTAAGGGGTGTATTTCGAGTGTTTTAGCCACTAACTAACGCCAGTACCAGTCAAACGTAAAGGCTGAGTACTATTACGATCAAAAAACAAAATAATTCCGCTTTAATCCGAAAAAATTATCTTCTCTGAGCGATGGAAAACAAAATTAGTAGAGCCTACAAATATTTTAACGCGAATAAAACGGTGTTTCCTTGGTTTTAATAACAGGCGTTGGTGCGGACCTCAGTCCATCGCGGGGCTTTTGCGCTGTTTACACGCGTAGAAGGAAATTCAAAGAGATGCATCACGGGATACGTAGTTAAATGTCAGCATCAGGAGTTAGTTTTATTACAATGTTTTCCTTATTACTAATTTTCAAATAATTAGAATCTGATTTTAGAAATTTGGCGTAAATATATAACAGTTGCATTTATAATAATAACACAATTTCAATAACAACAATACAAACATATAACAGCTATATTTATAATAATTACATAATAATCGCTTTTATGACGTTATAACTATTAAGTAAGTTCTTGAAGATACCATGTATACTAATTAGATATTCCCATACCAAACCAAGAAGAAAGATGTGCCACACAGAACTTGTGCAGCCCAGACAATTTCTCTTTCCAGTCAAAATTCAAACGTAGAAATTCTCCAGACTACCACCCTAAAATAACCAGTGTCTTAGATATTCCATCGAATATCTAAGCCAACCTTTGGCGAATTACTCGTCTTTTCAACAAAACGTTCCACCTTGACTTCTTCCACAGAGTGAAATGTCTTTACTGAAAGTCCTGCAGATGTGATTGGCGATTGCTATCTGTTAACCATCTGTGCATCTTTTTGAATATTGGCCACTGTTGTGTGATGCTTACTGCATACGTTTGTTTTCATTCACTTTTCATGATTATTTTTAGGTCTCAATTTAAAATTGGGCGTCTCCCTGTGGTCATTTAACATCTCCGAGAAGTTGTTTTGTGCATCATATTTTTTTTCTTCTTGTTTTTATGTCATTGTCATTTTTTTGTAGTTTTTTCCCCTTTTTGTAGTAACACCTTTCATCTTTTTACAACCACTCTCTTGGAATAAATGTACATATCATCACGTTTGGGTTTACTATCTAATTTTGAGTGACAATTGGGGTATTTTCTATGTGTCATTGTTTTAACTTTGTATCTCTTTAAGTGTACTTTGTGTCTCATTTTAGTCATTTTACATCTTTGTATTGACATTTGGTCCCTTTACCAGCATCTTACATCTCTTTGGTGTGTCATTCTGGATGATTGTTTTGTGTATATTATATTTGTGGATAAAACAAGACCAGGACCCAGATGAAAAAAACAAAACAATTTAACTTACCGTTGTGATGAATGAATGACAGGTGTTTGTCATAAAATATTTATATGAGTACCTCCATGCTCAATAAAATTTAAAATGTTATCCAATATGGCTTCCAGTAAGTGATTTAAGTCACCGGTCTGTCATAATCCTAAGTTTCATAAACTGCACGCCACCCAACTTATCTGTCTATCATAACAGCAGCAAGCTCTTTAACTTTTTGTTTGTGCGAAAGGAATTTCACCTATGCGAGCCAGGAATGAGAGCACAACACAGTGCTGCTGACTGGAGATGCCTTCAGGTGCTCCCTTCAAGCTCCTACAAACTGATTTGTGCCAAAAACTCGTTTCCGATTCTTCTGTTTTTATTATGTCTTTTTTCTCATAAATAGACTATAGTCAACAGGAGCCACGAAGGGGTTATATATAAAACAAAGAAACGACTTGTTCTGCAAAAAATCTTTATGACTCCGTCTTATTGCATCAACATCATGATTATAATCCAGTCCCTTTTGGCCAATTAAAATATCTTTGTAGAAGTGTGATGTTAGTTCTTGACATTTTAATTTTAACGACACATTTGACTTGCAAGTGGGTAGCTTCTGTTTCACTAACATCACAAGGTGACAGGGCTCAAAACGATTTGCTATCATTCATAAGTGGTATGTTTAGCAGATTATTAGTCGTTTGCAGCAATGTAAATACCTCCAATTATGTTTTTATTTTTATTTTATTTTTTTTTGGGGGGGGGCAAATACCAGAAATCACTTTTCGGCACGACACAGGTTTTTAGATGTTTCTTTTGCTTAATATAGAATAATTACAACAGCACAACCACACGCAGGTAGACAAATACTCATCAGAATATCTGGTTTCTTACTTTATAATTTAGGCTATATGATACTATTGCTTCGATAGGAAATGCGCACAAAACGAGTCAGCGATGCTTGAAGCAACACTTGCCATATGGCTATATCTCTTTTGCTTGTCCTTTCCACAAATCTGTAAGCGGTTTGTGTCAAATTTAAATGACAGCGCTACCTTTAATTTGCCATTACACTGCATTGCAGTGTTACAGTAATGGTGAAAGTCAGAAAGAAAGCAACATTGGATTTCTAACCTATTATACTGGATTGGGTACTCAAAGTATTGAAGTATAATCACATTGTTGCACATTTTGTTCATACTTATTACTGCATGGTTGGTGGAGCTAATTTTCTGCACTGTTAGAGAACATGAATATATTGCATAATTGAAACAGTTAGGGTAACATATGTACATCACTTTTTACCGACTAACCAGAGGCGCATGCTCCCTTTATACCCCCGACAAGACTTGAACATGAACTTCCACGTGTCGCAAACACGCCACTTTTTCACCGCCAACTGTCTGTCCGACCGCACCTGAAAGCAGCACGAGAGAGGCGGTGCCTTTGTGCTGACGTCAGAGCGGGCCGGTCCTCGAGCTGGGCTGGCTGAGCACACTCTGAGCGGCGACATCCATTACCCCGGGAAGGAGCAAAAATGCCTCCCAAAGACCTCGACCCACCCCTAAAAGCTGGTCCATGGGCGCACGTTGTCGTGTTATTCCGCTGACACACGAGGAAGAAAAGGACATGAGTGCGATAAAATGGCAGGGTTTTGAATGTTTGGTTCCTCTGGGTATCAGCGTGGCGTCGGCGGCGGGTCGTTTCCAAAGTTGTCGATTAGCAGGGCGCGTGAAGGATCGGTATTAAAGGAGCAGTACGCCTCCCGTATCCTCAAAACATGGAGAAGCCGCAGAGCGAGCTGGACCGAGACCGACAGTACTGTGAACTTTGCGGGAGGTTTGATAACCTTCTTAAGTGCGGTAGATGCCGCAGCTCCTTCTACTGCAGCAAGGAGCACCAGAAGCAGGACTGGAAGAAACACAAGCTCATTTGTAAGGAGGCGGACAAGCCGCAGCCGCCCGCACAGAAGCCCGAGCAGGCACCGCCGCCCGGGGACGACGAGGCGCCTGAGAAATGTCGAGAAGAGCAAAGCTCCGAGCAAGCAGATATTGCAAACACAAAAGCACTGAGAATTGAGGTGAGAGCTGGACATGATATGTCCGACAGCACCGCCACACCTAACGGACAGAGCAGCTTATCCCCGCAGAAACTTGCCATGGAGTGCATAGTGCCGTGCATGAATAAGCACGGCATCTGTGTGGTGGACGGCTTTGTAGGAGCAGAGATCGGGCTGGGCATTCTTGAAAATGTCAAGGCCCTGTACGAAACTGGCAAGTTCACAGACGGTCAACTGGTGAGTCAAAAGAGCGACTCCACTAAAGACATCCGAGGGGATAAAATCACGTGGATCGATGGCAAGGAACCCCGCTGCGAGAGGATCCAATTTCTAATGAATCGCATGGACGACCTGATCAGACATTGTAATGGCAAACTGGGAAACTATGCGATAAATGGAAGAACAAAGGTAAGTACGAAGCACACGCGCACACTGCGCATCTACTGCATTCATCCTCCAGGAGCCAGAGGCTTGCTGGTGTGACACCTGCCACACACACTACAAGGTCAGGGAAGCAGCAATACTCTGCGTGGGGATGAAATCAAAAGTACCGCAGGTTTTTAACAGGGGTGCATCATTCTGCAAAAGCTTTTTTTCTCCCACTTTTGTCGTTAAAGCGCTATTAGGTGTAACAGATCAACCTTGTTTGCTAATTAGATTCGACTTTGCGGGTAAGAGGCCGGTGAGTCCTCTTCTGGCTTTGCTCTGAGTCAGAAAGGTGATTGCTGGTGCTGCTCACATGTTAATGGTTTTGTTTTGGACGCACGAAGAGTGTGCACAGACAGCGCACGTGTTCGGTCGCCATGGCAATACAAAGACACCCTCAAATCATTGCTCTAAATAAACGCAATACCTCAACCAATAAGAAAGATTAAATTTGGATAGATCACGTGTCTGCAGCATCTTTGAATCAAATGAAATCCAGCTGAAATCTAATGAAAGCAAAGCACGAGGCACATTGTTCTAGCAAGCAGCTGCAAGCATATGTCATGCTGGACTGTTTATTCTAGCCTAAAATGATAAAAAAAAAAAAAGTATATTGATCCTAGTTCAGATGTGTAAATAGTTTAGCTTTCTGATGCCTACAGAATATATTCCTAAATCCATAGATTACTGCTCAAGTCCAGTCCTCACCTCTACAGGCTGCACTCCCTCCATTAAGTGTGTATTGTTCATATTTTGAATGACTATTGGTTTTTAGATGTGTTTCGTAGGTGTGTAATTATGTTTGGTGCTCTATTTAAAATAAACGTGATGGGGAAAGCATCAGATATAGAAAGAAGAGTTTCCAAATTAAAGATCAGATTTCGCTGAAAGCACCTTAGTAAGCAGTGAATAGCAGAGCTATATGTTCTAACAGAGTGCATTAGTTTCAGGACGGTCATTCTGACCAGTGACACGACTAACACCGTTAACACATGCTGCCACATGCACAAACAATGGAGGCAGTCCAGCTTATCAAAATGTATATATTGTATTCATATGTTTGTACTTTAGCTTTTATTTTTGGTAAAATGTGAGTGATGTGAAGAAGCTGCAACCATGTGGCAGCTTTAGTGGTGACAGGTTGTGGTGATAAGTTCAGCGTCACACAACATATTTGGTTAGGCAGCATTCCTATACTGAGAAGAAAACCTGCGTGTTACAGCGGCGAAAGGAAGCTGTGGGTAGCTTCTGTTTCACTAAAATGTGTTTTCTAAGAACTTGTTTTTAATTGTCGGATGTCCTCATTTTTTCAGGCTGAGCAGCTAGAGTTCAGAAGCTCTCCCGGCACCTGGTTTGTTTTTTCCTAACTGTTAGTGCTGTCTAGTGGATAACGATGGTTGCGTGTGACCTGCGACTCTTGACAGATCTGGTCACCATGGCCTTATAGCATGAGACTGCCTCAGGAGAGGATGAGGTGCTTTCAGGCTTTCTCCTCTTCCTCCTCCTCTCCTGAGTGAAATTCTTTGAAGGCTATAGTCACTATTAACTAGAAGTTTAGCAACATCACTTTGAATCTGGCTAGAACCTAAACACACTAAAGCAACGGGCCTTTTATTATAATATTAGAGAAATAAATCAACTTTGTAGTCACACACCTCTCACACAGTTGATGGAGCCATCACAAATATCTGCTCTGTTGGCTGAGAATAAATAAAAGCTGCTGGACTGTGAAACAAATTTTTTTTTTTTTAAGTGATTTTAGTTAATATTATAATTGTTTAATATAATTATTTATTAACCTAACATCAAGCTGTTTGAGATTAAATCAGTTTTTCAGAGCGATTTCTTTAGTTTTTAAATTGAATTCAAAATGAAAAGAAAAAATAAATCAGTGAATAAGAGGTGAGTGGGATACGTGACCTAGGTTTATGGCTAAACTGACAGGTATTTTTGACCACAAAGTCTTTTTTTTCACAAGGGTTAAGGTTTTCTACCTACACCACAGGAAGCTTGCTGCTGGTGGAGGCTGTGCGGCAGTGGGCTCGTACACTTTTGGAGTCCTGTGCAGCAGCCGTGAAGTGAATAACGAAGAGCTTAAGCTCACAGCTTTACTTTCTCCAGATAAATCACTAACACTTTGAAACTGGTTCAAAGCATTGCGCACTAAACCAGTAGGTATTTTTTTTACTAAAATATAAATATGATATAACATAAACTTTCTGGTCATTTGGGAAAATGTAGGGTTTTTTTTTTTTGTATTGCTTTGTCCAAATCGTGTGTAGATTAAACATGATTTAACTGCAGAGTTAACAAACACCATATATTGGAATCAGCACATTTTTAGAATAGTTTAATAATAAGTAAACATTATGGCCTTTAAAAAGGTCAGATTTCTTACAGAAGTGTTATTAAAATCTGGTACATTGGGGGGAAAAAAATGGTTACAAAAGATTTAAGGTTTTATTAACAGTTATTGCATCTATGGTTGAGCCATATTACACAGTTTACGGTAATACTGGTACAATGTAAGGCAACGATAAGAAAATAAAATAGACCCTGTGCACGAGAAAATGCTAACTTCCTGGTTTGAGACCGGATGTGGGGTTGTACATTTCCGGTAGCTTTACTTTGCGGTCAATCGCTACTGCGAAGATATCCTCCAAAATCATGTCCAAAACTCGAAAGCAGTGTGACTCTGAAGTGCAGTACTGTATGTCCACGATGTCCACAAAACGTTTTGCACCGTCAAAAAATAAAATTGGCTACTTGATTTCACCTATCGCTAGTTATTTTTAGAACATAACACCCGCGATAAACGAGGGACAGCTGAGAAATATAACATTTGAATCCCTTTTCTCTCTTGCCCTGAGGCGCAGGGGAAAAATATCGACAAGTCGATGAACATCATTTACAGATATATTGGGTAAATGCCCAAGACATCTATAGAAATGTAAATCGCCGCTTGATTCATTCATTTGCTAAACTTGTTTTGGACCGTAAACAGGGAGTGAATAGGACACCGTAGAGCTGGGCGATAGAACGATAACGATATGTATCGCGATATAACCTCTAAAAAAAAAAAAAAGGTCAGCCAATCCAAATTAAGTAGCGCAGAGCCGAACCAATCACAGCCGCAGCGTCACGTTGCGTGACTTGTTACGTACAGCACAAGTGCCAAGCCGCACGTGTGTTTGTTTGGGAAGCAGCCAGCGGGTAATGGAGCCAGCGCGTAATGGAGGAAATGAGTGTGCCGACTAGAAAAATCAACCGAGCGTGACCGAAGAGAAAACAGATGATGGTTCCAATGCCGGAGAGATTGTCGAACGGAAGAGCCATAGAAGTTCCGTAGTGTGAAGGTATTTCGGCTATTTCAAGTCTGACAAAAAACAGAGTAGCGTGCACTGTAAATTGTGCCGAAAGCAAGTCTGGAAATACAATAAACTGGTGCATGCGTCACACTGTGCGCCACGTTATTGTTTCGGTGAAATGAATTTCTACAATACTGTTACTGTTAATTCTACTCTCTGCAGTGTTTAAATGCTTACATATACACACAGTTACTGTCCGTCCACACATACGACTCGGTTCTGCTTCTATGCCCCAGCTTTGTTTACTTTTTCCCACCGAGGCTTCTAGACTTCTGATTGGCCAACATTTCTGCACGGTTAGGAATCTAGCGCCACCTGCTGCTTTGGCATGTTCATAGCAGCGTTTTCCTTCATTTCTGCCTTTATGTGTGGACGGGATTATTTTTTAAAGAAAACGGAAAATCTCCGTTTTCAAAAATACCCGTGTACGTGTGGACGTAGCCTCAGTCTCTGACTGGAAGCGCTAATTCGTCATTCGGCTTTTGTCAGACTAAAGTAACTGTTAAAACTGTTTGAAAAGCTAGCTATACAACAAGGAGAGATTGAGAATTTCCTTTTAGTTCTCAGTTTATTTGATATTGACAAAAGTTAGTCAGTTTTGTCTGTTCTTCTGTAAAACAAACTAAGATTTATTTTTAGAATTAATATTTTGTTTCTAAGTGGAATTGACAATTTAGTCTGTTTCGTTTGTTCTATTTTGAAACTTAAACGCTTTAGCGGCTGCCTTTTGTGTAGTTTGCAATATTTGCCTTTATTTATCTGAAAAAGTCTCATGTTCCTTAAGTACATCTACCCTGTTGAACTTATTATGGGAAATAAATATTTAAATAAAAACAAGCTGCTGATTATTTCACATTTTACTTGTGAGCAACGGCACATTTAAATCTTACAAATATAGTTATTTGGCTTATATCGTGATAGATATCGTTATCGCCTGAAATGAAAAAAACATATCGTGATATGAAAAAATCTCATATCGCCCAGCTCTAGGACACCGGAAACAAAGCTCCCCTCAGGAGTTTCCGCACCGGAAGTAGCATATGCTAGCGTGCACAAAGTCAATTGCGATAGAATATGGGTAAAACGCACATGCGCAGTGCCTTTTTTTTTTTCATACGCACATGGCCAAAAAAGCATGGCGGCAACGGAGAATGAGAAGGGGGAAAGCGGATCGTTGAGTGAAACGGATGAACCAGAATTGGTTTGTAAAAATGGTGCCACTTCAGTGATGTGGAACTGGTTTGGTGTTTGTCCGTCAGATACCCACCAAAGCACTTTTTTTGTAGAACATGCAAGCGGGCCGTATTTGTCGGACTAAGGTGCTCGTAAATCTGGGAGTGATCTGGGTCCAAAACTCCGTCCGCTACAGGTCCCAAAGTCAACACTGAGAGTTAAAAACTGTCTAAATTCTTTCATCTTTAATAAAACAAACAGCATTGATGCTTTACCAGGTGTAACAATTAAGTTTAACATCCATGAATCCATGAAAACAGAATTTATTGCATTTAACGGAGTTAGAAGTTAGCGGAGGTTAGCTCACTAGTTACCTAAGCATGATATAGCATGTTCTGACTGAGAGATTTCTGAAAAAATTAAAACGTACAGCTCTGCTAT